ACATCAGAGAAAGGTACGAGTTGAGTCTCACATGATTACGATTTCCTAAAACCGTGTTGTGAAGGCGAAAAGAAGGTGTTATTTTCAAGAAAATTGAAGATGCTTCTGATTACGAAGTATTATATAATAGTTAGAAGCACGTGCTGGTAAGAAAAATGGGGCGATAGTTGGTCGTTAGGCTTTTCTAAGCAGACTTGAGAAGTAGAACTACCTCCCCTACCTTTCACTGATAAGGTAAAGTACCTATGTGAAGCGATAGGCTCGACAGAGCTGTAGCCTGTAGTAAAAAATGCACATGCAAACTACAACAGGCTCGTTTGTTATAAAAGTATTATGTTGTAAACTGCATTATAATCTATTTCGACAATGAGCCTAACAAATACAAAGATTGTTAGACATTCATTGTGCACACATTTGAAATGAATGCGCGAAAAACCAAACACGACAGCCACCACAATATGTGTGCAACCTATATACATATTCCGATACAAATAAAAAAATCATGGCGCGCACAAATTTACAAATTATGCCTATAAACAGATGCCAATGCCAAGATCATAACACAAGGCAGGTACATATGTTCAAGCACAGTATTCAGTAATAAATGCACATTGTATACATTCAAACAAAGAATAAAAAAAGTATTCACAAGTACTTTCATTTCTTGTCCTTACCAAGCCTCAGCAAGATTTTTCTATTTATGAGATAAAGCCCATCACCGACCAAACATTACCACTGCAGTAACTTTTTTCAAGCATAAAACCATAGGAGTGCTCGATTTGGGCGTCTTATTGGTGTCAGAATTCACTTCAGCTGGCAAAATCACCCAGACCCCTTGCGTAGGCAGTGGTGCGGTGAGGGGGGCTGGGGGGGGGGGGGGTGCTTGTGTACACGTACAAATACAAAGAGATGCCCCAGCATGCATAAGGAACAGTAAAGCTTCAACTTGAAAGAAGTTTCTGGCTACGCTGCTGGCACAGCCAACAAATAAAAAAGAAACCAATAAATAAATATGAACCATTTTGAACTGACAGCAACAATATGATGAAAGCTTCATGAACATTACTTGTGTTTGCAAAATCCTAAGCTATGTTACATAAATTATTTATAAAAGCTTTCAAGAACTTAAGAGAACAATTGGACACAATGTGAAATGAGAATGTGCATTTGTCAGGAAACTGGAATATTTTTTTTCCTAAAGAAGACACTCAGCTATGATCGCCCACATGTAGTCACTGGTAAAGTGATTATCCCGGTAGACAGCGGGATTCCTAGTCACTGGTTCGTTCACAAGTTTTGCACTGCTGTCCTATTCTTGTGAAGCATCTGGCGCAGTTTTGATAGTGACTTTGGTAGAAGTACCATTTGCCAGTAGTTCTGTCCGCCGTTCAGCGGCATCCATACCTTCGATGTCAGTCGGTGATGTAACCTTTCGCTCCATTTCCTGGGTGCAGCGAGGCCTTTTCACGCGACTTTCTTGTATGATACATTCGTTCCAATACTGCAGATTGAGTTTCCTGTAAATACCACTGGCTTTCTCATGCACAGCAACTTCAAGTCGTCTCGTGCAGCGCAAGTCGTCTTCGTGCTGAAATGACCTCCTAAGGAGCATCGTGCAATATTTCTGCGATCTGAGACCAGTCAGCACTTGCTCTCTCGTGTCACAGATGTCCAAGTGTGCATCCCTGTAAAGACGTTCCTTGGCATGACAGTGTGAGGCCAAGTCACTATGACGAGACACTGGCCTTTGCTTCTGGCGTGTGACGCTTCACGCTACGACGTCGGTGCAGTGCTTTCCCAGAATGACGATCAAGACAGAGAAGCAGCGATAGCCCAGTGTCCCAACGGAACGAAAACGAAAAAAATCATATTTTGACCGGAACGACAACGTAATTGAAACATCATTAACTATTTAGTTCCGGAGCCAAAACGAAATTTTTTTATCGTTCTTTTTTGTTTCACGGGAAAACTTGGCGATCCGGAACAACAGAGGTCATGCAACGTGAGAAACATCCTGCATAACTAAGGGCACAGAATCAGTGCGTATCTGTTGGGCAGGCATCCCTAAGTAAAAGTGTGTCCAAATATTGTGGAAAACGAAAAAAGAAGTGTCAACCATAGACGTTTGCATTTATTCAAGCGGGCTTTCGTATGCCTTCAACACAGGCCACCCAGAAGTTTGCTTGATCAGAACAGTGGTCGCGCATATAAGAGAATACCCTGGATGACGGGCTGCTTCTGAGATCATGCTCGCACTATTCACACACAAACACACACACACACACACACACACACACACACACACACACACACACACACACACACACACACACACATTGAGCCTGTTCAGAATATTTCTAATTCACTCTTCAGAGAATCAAATACGATAACTTCGAAAAGCACTGGTTTGCGTTATTTTGTTATGAACTCACGGTAAAGCTACTTGCGCTTTCCTTAGGAACGTTGTAATTTATTTTAGTGCAGTCCCGTGTTCTTAAAGGAAAACCTCATGTTTTTATAGGTAATTTAACTTTAATGTTTTACAGAAAAATAAAAACTATTACGAACCGTTAGGGAACTTTTTTTTTTCGCTCTGGAACGGAAGTGGAATGGAACTTTTTGCGGTGGAACAAAACTAAAACCAAACTGGAAAACCCTGCGATAGCATTCGCTTCCCGCACGTTAGCCCCTGTGGAACTAAATTATTCTCAGGTGTGTCAGGAAGGACTGGCCGTCGTCTATGGAGCCACGCATTTTCATCAGTACATCGCGGGCAGACATGTGACTGTTCTTACTGATCAAAGGCCACTCCTGAGTATCCTAGAGCCCCAGAAGCAGATTCCAGAGCCATTTTCGCGTCGTATGATCCGATGGTGCATTAAGATATCAGCATCAGACTACGACGTCGTGTAGCGTTGTATTGTAGCGCGTGTTGTTGCTTGTCCCCCTTGTTTTCAGTGTATTCGAGTATCTTGTCATTATACCGTATTGTATTGGATAACTGCCGAATGTGCACGCTTGTGTTTTTTTTAGGGGCGAGGCTCCTAAAAGGCGTGGGTCTGCCCGTTTTTTCGTATGTATGTACATGACCGCCCATAGTTCCGCCTTTGCAAACTGCGAACTATTTCGTCCTTGCAAACATCTCACTAAGCCCCATCATCTATTCACCACTTCACTGACCATAAAGCAAATACTGTTGAGAAGTAGCCAGTATGTAAAATTCAAGATCGTCGTGTACTTGTATCCAGGTGCACGTTAAAGAACCATAGATTGTCTCACTGTGCCCATCCCTTGTTTGTACGTGACCGCTTATAGTGCCACCTTTGCAAACTGCCCAATACTTCGTCCTTGCAAACATCTCACTACGCCCCATCACCGATCCAACACTTCACCAACCATAGAGCCGTTATAATGAAGGGGGAACGGAAGCGACATATAGCTGTTAATTACCAATAAGAAAATTTATTGTATAAATATATACAGTATTCGTCACGTCTTTTATGATGTAGTGGGTGATGTTCGCGGATGGTTCACGGTTTAGCGATGAAACCCTCCAGCGCTTCGCCCCACTCATCATCGTTCACTCTGTGGATATGCTGTGATGTTTTTTTTTGTTTTTTGGTCTGCCTTTTATGAAAATATATTTTTGGTTATGTTATCAACTATCCGCTTTGCCTCGTTCTTAGGACCACAACTGGTGTTTGCTGCAGGATGCACCAGAAGGACCAACACTAAATTGTCCATGCTTTCGTGGTGCTGTTCGGGGCGTCGATACTTCGACCTTGAATTAAGCGGGCGATTGCCTCCCTAATCACAGGACTAGTGTCACAAGTGTGAAATATGGTAGGAAAAAAATTAGGAAGATCAAGAAAAAAGTAGATAAGCATAGAGGAAGAAATAAGTAGAAATAGAGAGGAGGCAATGAAGCGAGAAAGGAGAAAACGAAAGATAGACAAATTAGTCTCTGCACTTCCTTGTCATCACAATAGAGCGAAGCTGCATTAATTATCTCCGTTCCAAGAATAGAAGGCAAGAAACTCAATTGGTGGGAAGAACGAAGAGACTCGTCGTCGTCGAGCTCTGCCTCGAAGTTTTCCACACGCGTCTTACTCATGTCAGTTTGATGCGGCGACGAACGGCTTAAGAAGGGCGCTGCCGAGAAGTTCGAGGACACGAATTGTCTCTCTCAGGCGCTCTCTGGCCACCCATCGCCGTGGATGTGTGCCTGATCTATTCAATGAAACAAACAAAAAAGTCCCTTTTGACGAATGCAGCTGGACTTAGACGAAGACATGAAGAAAGAGGTTTAGGTGAAAGTGTGCGCTTGTCTGTGTTCTCTGTCTTCTTGTCCAATTTGCGCTGCATTCGTCCGAATACATACCAACTCGCCCATGTCAAGGTGTTATTAAAAAAGCACAAGCGTACTCGAGAATAAGCATTTCACGCAGCAATAATCTACAAGTGCACGAGTTGTCTGGTAGTAAATGTTTGAGGCAGAAATAACGATTGCAAGGCTCAATCCCTGTTTTGTCACGCATTCGCAGTGGCATTGCTGGCTCGTGATGCCGTGTATATGTTCCTTCCAATAAACATTTGAGGTAATTTTTGGATTAGAAAGAGGATGCTGTAGGTTGGTGCCAGCCTTGCGAAATTCGCAGACAACTGGTCAGCCCTCTTTTCTGATCATATGGCAGTAAAGCGAAGCTCGGGCACCTTCTGTATTTTTGGCCGTGTCGACCAACTCGTGAAGTCACGTAACGATCGATAGGCAGGCAATGTTTGAGCGGAAGATTTACTGAGAAAGCACGGTGCTTTGGTACGGTGTGCATTAATGTAGAGGTACATTTATGGCCAATGGACATGACACTGCGTCCGTTCACTATAGCCGTGGTCATTTCTCGGCCGTCATACAAAACGTTGCTTGAATGTGTGGCCTTTCTCTGTAGATATGCCTCGAAGTAACGTTTGTTGTTCACTGTCCCTGTGTATTGTCGTTGCAGATATTCATTAACAACAAATTCGTGGACTCTTTCTCTGGGAATACGTTTGCCACATTTAACCCGGCCAATGAAGAAAAAATCGCCGATGTTCAAGAAGGAACCAAAGTGAGTTCTCTTACTTTGTCAAAGCTCACCGCAACTGAAACAGCGCTTACACGTGTTTGCAGGAGGACATCGATGCGGCTGTGAAGGCAGCGAGAGAGGCGTTCAAGCGGGGTTCGAAATGGCGAACCATGGACGCCTCACAGCGCGGTGCCCTCATCAACAGGCTGGCCGATTTGATGGAGCAGAACGCCGACTACATGGCGGTATTGTTTGATTCGTATTCTTGCAGGGAGTTTCGGCCGTCGGGGTTTTCTGTACGTGCACGCATTTCGCGAAATTTCCGTGGCTAATATCGAAGCCACGTCTCTCGGGTCAGCATCCTCGTTCATAACGAGTACGAGAAGAGATTGCTTGAATTCCTTTCGTGAGGTGAAAACTACGTAATTCCTGAAGGTGCTGGCAAATTTCAGTGCGCCATAATTTTTTTTCATCGAACAAATTTAGAATGTCAGGTACTTGGGCGAGTTGGTTTGGGCTCATATACTCGTGTAAAAGGGCAGTGTCAAAATAGTTACAGAAGGACGTGATTACGATAGGATATACGCTGTACTGACGACTATTGTACTGTACTAACACTATCTTTGCAACAATTATCAGTTGTGAGCACAGTGCATGTCTTTTGTTGTCCTTTGTAATTGTTTTGGGGCTGCCCTGTTACGTCAGCATGAACAACTTTTAGTTGCAGCCCAGATAAGGTGGATTCATTATGATGCAATGTGTAGATTGATTGCTGCAATTCTCGCAAGTTCCTGCAAGTCACTGTGCGCTATAGCGCAGCTAGAAGAAGGTCATGAGAAGACTCGCCAGCAATCCACCCACTTCGTTTTAACGAAAAGGAAACCAGACGCTGATCCTTATTGGTTTATATTCCGCGCCAAGTGTTGCGCTAAAAAGCTTTTTTCGAAATGGTGGCATCATAATATGTAGTAAAATGACTACAGGCACCAAAGAACCGACAGAACATCAAGTCCCAGAGCTGTGGCTCACTTGTTGGAACTGTGCCTTCTGGAAGGCGATCCTGCTGATCCAGCCCGTCTGAGATAAGTTGGCTTGAAAGGGCGTCAGTGGAAGGAAGTGACCGCCTCTTGCGATCCATTGGGTCGCCGTCGCGTGGAGGCCGCAAAAATGGATTTTGCAGGCAGCGAATGAGTGAGCGACAACTTTAACTGATCGAAAGAGTGAGGGATGAGGGAGGCTAAGCCAAATAGGCTGCCAGGCCGTGCCTCTCGATCACGTCTTGCGCTCGTTCCAGGATCCACATTTGGGTGTCCCTGTCAGTGCTGCACAGAAGAACCCACTGTTCCTCGTTAGGGGGTGGGCGAAAGAGGTCGGTGGGCGGGGAACCTTCCGCGCAGCCCCAGGGGATGGGCTTCAGTGAGGTCATACCACCGCAGAGGCAGCAGTGTGGATGTAGGAAAAGACGAAGGGGGCATGGAAAGGTGTAAATCTGTAAGCGATGCCAGGGGACCTCGGACCGCTTGGGAAGACTGAAGTGAGGGGGTGGATAGGTGTATCGCTCGTGGCGAAAGGTAACTTCGTGGAAAGGGACACCACTGCGTGCCCTGATTGCATTTCTAAGCAAGATCCGTGAGTTGATTGGCAGCGTTGGCATATGCTTTGTGATGTATCTTAACGCGATAGCACCGAGAGCACAGAAATCGCCACGTCACCATCGATGGCTGTGAGCCTAAATTCACACCAAACCGCAATCGCGCGGCGACAAAGACAAAGTGAAGAGACATTGAAAGGATACACAGGAGAAGATCTAACCTCAATGAAATGTCGGAGGTGCACTGCTTTTGCATATATTTACAATGAATAATAAAACATATATATTCGTGGTCTCAGCAAGAATCGAACCCAGGGCTCCACCGTGGCAAGTAGGCGTTCTGACACGGAGCCGTGCCAGTGCTTGAAATAGCTTTGTAAAAAAATATACTCTCACGTTTGAAGTTAATTAGCAGATTTTACAGGACATGAAACATGCATTGTCATGGTGCCATAGTAGTGGGCAGAGTCCAGTTGAAGCATGTGATACTGTGTGGCCGAATCGAAGAATCGCACCAGGTGTAAAAACACCGTGTGCTCACCCATTACAAAGTGTGCAGCGGCGCAGCCCGGCGTGCCACCTTACGCCAGTGGAGTGGGTGGATCGCCAGTTTGCAAACGGAAAAATTATGGCATAGTGAGCGCAAGCCTTCTATAGGATAGTTTTAAACAGCCAATGTTATACGCACAAATGTTCCTTTCTTTGCGGCGCTGTTGAAGATGACGTGCTCGGAGCCCGGTTAAGTTTTGGTTTTAGAAGCGGATCAAGCGTCTTCCAAGTTTCTGTTTTAAGAGCCGAGCACTTTAGTGGCCCATCTCATGTGACGTCGTGATCTCGCTCAGAGTAGACTTAAGCTCAATAGAGGCGATAACAATGCTATCAATGCTCAAACCCGGGTTAAAATGAATGAACGAGGTAACAGAAATAGCCGAGAGGTATAGTCCCATTGAACTCGCTAAAACGTTTCGGAAGCATGGCACTGACTGTAGCGGGGCGCAGACCCAACATGTCACGTGACTACTGTTACGTGATTTCACGTCGCGGAACTAGTGTTACATGATGGCCTTCCTTAAAGGCCGAATTATATACGCCACATTTTCACCGGCGTTTTCAGGCGTTGAGCCTCTTGGTGTCATGACATACACGCCCTCAGAGAAGGTGGCCAACCATGTCTGCTTATGGCATATCAATTAACGGGCGATTGGTGTCATCCGGCTGGAGTCACAGGTTCTTGGGAGTCATAATCGACCGAGACCTGTCTTGGACCACACACGAAAACGACACGAAAAAGCCGGTGACTGTCATTTGTAACATTTTGACTGTCATTGTAACATTTGTAAAACTTGGGGAGTCTCCGTCGTGTCTGCTACAGCTGTACAAGGTATCATTTATTGGATTCATGTGGTACAGCCTATCTGCAATATAGAACACGTGCACAACTAACCTGCGCACACTCCAAAAACACCCAAGCCGAGGTTCGTACGACATGCCTTGATTTACCCCGTTGTGCATCGACGGCTGAAACCATCGCCATTGCGCAGGACTACCCAATCGTGACGCACATTACCATTGAAACTATGCACACTTACCTCAGGCGATATGCTAGGAATCCTCCTCACTACTTGGCGAACCTCGCTATACTGTGAGGCCCCGCACGAAATTTAGTGCGATTGTCTGTGCGCATTGTGCATCGCTTACGTCAAGTTATATGCCTGTGGAGTAGCCGGTGTATCCTCCTTTCACAAGTACATCTTAAAATTCCAGAAATGCAGAAGAAATTAATTTTGTCTTTGTCAGCCCCAAAACAATTGAGCCTGCTCCTCTTGCACAAAATGTACAGTAACCACGTGCACATTTGCACCCATGGTTCAACCGCAGCATCTAGGCAGTGCGGTGGTGATACCATCTTGAGGAATAACACTGCGAATCAAGCTGTCACATGTCACTACGCCTACGGCGGCAGAACTTGCGGCACTGATTTATATGTGGGGTTTGACGCCCCAAAACCACCATATGATTATGTGACGCTGTTGTGGAGGGCTCTGGAAATTTCAACCACCTGGGGTTCTTTAACGTGCACCCACATCTCAGCACACGGGCCTACAACGTTTCCGCCTCCATCGGAAATGCAGCCGCCGCAGCCGGGATTTGATCCCGCGACCTGCGGGTTAGCAGCCGAGTACCTTAGACACTGGACCACCACGGCACGGCAACTTGCGGCTCTGCGTGGTGCCCTAGAGTACATCACATCCCAGAGACCTCTGTGTTTTTCTATTTGAAACCGGCCTTACAGAGCACGCGGTCAGTTTTTCAAGGAGGTTCTCACGAGCAGGTAACATGCGAGGTCGTCCAGTTTCTTCACCTCGTCACAGGCGACGAGATCGATTTCAAGGGGCTACCTGGTTATTGTGGGATAAGTGGCAATGATTCTGCAGACAGCCTGGCTCGCAGATCCCACCAAGAAGAGCACACTCTTCCGATTGTTCTGTCAAGGACAGCAGCTGCAAGGAGACTTCGTCACGTGGCACGAAGTCTGTGTCTGCTGGAGTGGAACACCCCAAAAATAAGACATACAAGGCTTCATTAAATTCACAAAACTCTCAGCTAGAACTTCGACCTCTATCCGGACTTCGTCGACGTGAAGTTTCGCTTCTTTGTCGACTTTGGTTGGGGGTTACTTTCACACAACCCTCATCGGAGTGACCTACCCTGCAAGATGCGACGACTGTGGCACCGAAGAAGACATCGACCAACTGCGATGTTGTTGCTCTCGATTTGCCTCCGAGAGACAAACTTTCTGACGCGTTTCGACATTTCGACGATCAAGCACTGTCTGTGCAGATGCTGCTGGAACACTGTCTGTTGAATATTGTGTAGACGACGAGCGACGCTATCATCATTATGAGCAGATGAGGTCAGAGTATTTCAATAAAGAATGGGTGCATGGTGGGCTTCGCCATGAGGACGGTTGCTCGTTCCTTTTCTCATCATTTTGGCGCTGAAACCCGGAAGAAAAGAACTTACTCCGAAGGTGAAATAGTGCGGGGTTTATGACTTATGGACCGCATCTGTAGCCCCGAAAACTTCGTGAAGCCGCCGTTACGTGAAGCCTGTATACAAGACTTAACCATAGCTGAGACCCAGATCATGAAGAAAGGCAGCCCAACAATTAACGGATCTTCGTTGTGCAAACCTTCTGTGACAGCTGCCGTTTGACTCCGACTTTGCCTCGTGACACGGCTGGCCAGTGATTTCCCCACTTCCGACACTGAACCGGATCATGGAGGCCCCCTTCGAAAAGCGGAGTCAAGTACGCATGGTTGTCATGCTGGTCATCGCAGGCATCGAACGTTTTCGGCATATGGATCATCCATCAATATGTGAGTTGAAGAATTTTTACCGAATTTTGATTGGTCAGTATGATGAGCTCAGAAAAATTTACAAAGGAGAGTAATTTGTTCATATTGTTACGGGGATTACAAACACACGAAAGAGAGAAACTAGTGTATTTGCAATATTTGCAAGTCGGTGTGACAACCCAGGGCTGCTAGGATCTCGCGCACTGAATCCGCTTCTTTTTCGACGCTGCGTCTACGACGGCAGAGCCATGCCCACTGCCTCGTAGCATCAGCCCCGGTGCACGAAGTGCCGTCA